TGTGGTTAATTGTATGTTTCCTTCAATTTTATTTTTCCAGCGGTGCAATGGAGGCTAAGCAGCGAAATTTCTCGGCCTTTCAGCCAACGGGCACGGCAACAACGCCGTATGAAAAGCACATCCAGAGCTCACCACAACAACTTCCTCCCTCAAAGAGGGAACTTGTATGGCACAATATCATACTTCTAACATTATTGCATGTGTACACCACGTGGCACTTCGCATTTACAAGATTTAGCCTACTAATGTGGACCTTCCGTGAGTCTTTTAGTTCTATACACTTCTGGAAATCAAGTAGAAATGCAGAGTCTTGTGAGACTTATCATAATAACTAACACTTTAGAAACCCAAATGTGTATATGTAGGCGTTATCTCCTGAATACCTATATGTATGCAGTAAGTACCTGATCAAGTATGCAGGGATTAGGGTGTACATGGACAAGTACACACTTCGGCACATACACTGCGAAAAATATCGTCGTAAATATGCGATGTATTTTGAAAGTAATATTTACAAATTATGTTGTATTTATTTTGTACTATTATAATTTATGACACTTCAAACTTGCTCGTCGATGAATTACAATTTGATACAAAGTGTTTTTAATTTTACAATTTTAAATTGTAATATTACGACACGCGTCCAGGAAAATTTTCCAAGAAAACCTACAACTAATTTTCACGGTGTAGCTTCTATCAACACGCACGTGTGCACATGACCATGTACGCACTATCTCCTGCATAAATGACCATGTACACATTTCAGTATTCAGTCGAAAACGCGTATATGAACCCCATTGGGATTTCAGAGCATATGTTGCATTGAATCGGCATTTCATTTTCAGAACTTTGCTACGGTTACCTCGGGGGAATTGGAACAACTGCTGGCGTCCATCGCCTCTGGACTCATCGAGCATACAAAGCCAAATTGCCATTACGGGTTTTTTTTGCCATCTGCTTTTCAGCGTCAGCCCAGGTCTGTGCACAAAACCAGCAACTTACTTAACCCCCTTTTCAGCAGATAATACGGTAATTGTATACATATTTAAGAAAAGGGCCCTATACTTTTATGGCAAGCAAAAGTTACTTACTTTATTCGTTGCAAGCCCTCGATTATACTCAACTTGAGCACAAAATTATCCATAGTTTCTCGACAAAAGTATTACACATAATCTGTGAACACAGATGAACGAAACAGGTGTACAAAATTATGCGCTATGATGGTCAAGACGGCGAAGAAAAAAAGTACATAACAATGTAGTATGTAATAAACACAACCCGTCTAAAAGCGTAAAACGTGTTTGTTTTGTGTACGAACACGTCCGTAACTCAAGCCTGAAGTTGACCAAACGATTCATCTCTCGTGATTCTTAACCTTGCGCAGGTGCAAACGACACACGCCATGTAGCTATAATCAAAAACTTTGAATTTAA